GGGATAAGCAGGAAATAATTATAACAGGCATTTGACAGATACTTTTTGTTTTAAAACAGTTCTAATGATGTTGATATCTTGAAAACTTAACACCTGGCATGTAAAACATATGTTATCTACCTACCATTTACCTGCAAAAAAATTATAATGAAAAAAGAGGTTCTAAAAGGAAAATTGTGAAATTCTTGTAAGAGATACAATCTGGTTGGCAAATTAATTTCCTTAAATTATATCAAGTGAAATTAGCAAAGAATGCTTATAAGTCAAGATCTTTATATTAAAAGGGTATATGATAAATACTAGAGCTTAAGATTTAACATTACTGATAACATAAGAAACAAAACACCCTTGGCATCAACCTATCATTAGTTTGGGAAAGATTCATTGAAGCATAAAGAAACATCTCAAAGATAATGAGAAAACTGAAGATTCCACAAAATTGATTTGATATCCATATGCTTTCTCAATACCATATCTCTTAAGTTGCATAACTATGTACTTTTCTATTAATTTAATGACTTTTTGGTACTGAAGTAAAGTGAGTGCTGTGTTATCTTTGTCCAATTTTCAATATTTTATTTTATTTTATTACAAAGAACAGAACATCTCTCTTGGCAGCATATTAGATTTAATCTAGGAGAGATTCTATTTGTAATGTTTGGATTTTAAATATCTCCTTCTGTAACTTCTGTTTCTATTGAGAATATAACTTTAACATGCTATCTTTTCTTCTTATTTCTATTTAAATTCTATAAAAGATTTTATCATAATGGAATCTTTCTTCAAAGCATAATTTTTACCATCTTTGATTAGTATATAAACATTGAATATTGATCTTGATATATAAATATAGGATCAAATACTAAAATATTGATTGTCATCAGATTTTTTCAGTATCAAAATAGTTCTAAGAAATGACTGTTCTGTTGAAGAATTTAATTTAAACCTTCATGTGCATCCAGTGCTTTCCTAATTTCCCTTATTTAGATTATTTTTTCTGGGATAATAATTTTAATAGGGAAACATTCAGGTTCTAAACTAGAATTGTGAGTGAACTCACAAAAGGATACCCCTGCCCAACAATATCATAACTGCATACTGCAATATTGTAAGTTTTATTATCCCCCTTTAACATGTAGGACCAAGATATATTCCTTTATGTATACATCTTCAGGCAGTGTTCTACAACTGTATAGTTTCACTTATATTCATCCCGTCATTTAGGAGATTTGCATACAAGGCACATGGGCAGACAGATGGATGGCCATTGAGATTCCTAAATAATCCCCAAAACTTTGTTTGTAGGGGATAAAAATATCTGGCTTATTAACTTAAATAAAGACTACAACAAGGCAGTTCAAAATTTAATTACTTAAAATAATAAAAATTATCTTTTCCTCTTGTTAAGGAAGGGTTTTGAAGCTTATTAAAATAGAATGGTGAAAAACAAACTAAATCATTGTAAATAAAATCTATTACAACACTAAATGAAACATGATTGTACTTCAATTGTAATATAATTCAAGAAACCACTTGTTCATTATTAAGCTATTTTCCATCTAATTAATCATTAACAGAGGAATTCTTTGAGTAGAATATAATGGTTAGATCTCCTGCCTACCCCCAATCCTCTTATTTCCAAAAAAAGATTCTGCAAGCTAACATAATGAAATCTTATCCCCTAGGCCATTTACCAGAGGAATTTTATTTACTGCTACAAATTACTTCTTATTGATAAAACATATTTAAATAATTAGTGGGTGAATTGCTGTACATTTCTACACTAATCAGTTACAGAAATGGACAGTGTGAGATATAGCAAGGTCAAGGTTATAAACTAAGATTATTGTGTTCCTAATTAACTACAAATTAAAACAAAAATTGCAAGGTGAATAGGAACAAATCTATCATATGAAGAAAATATGAAATGTTTTTGTTTTCCAAGATGAATGCTTAATTTAGATAATATGTTTAAATATATACATGTATGCCACCCATTTTTATTTTCAGTTTCAGACATTCCAATTTTTCAGAAATATCCAAGGCGGTATTTATTTCAGTTCAGTGTGAAAATATGACATAAAAATGTTATTGAAAAACAGGTGTTATGTCTATTAGGTAAAGTATTGTGAACAAATATAATGATACATTTTATTGTTTAGCAAAAAACTCAGAAATTCATGTTCATACATCACATCTTAATGTACATCTTCTAAGGCAGAAAACAGGTGAATAAATAATTAAATGATATGAAAATAATTTCTCTTTTATGAGTATATTTATTGCATCCTTCATATAATATGCTTTGGCCATTGAATTTAACCAAAATACTTTCTTAATGCATACTAATTCATAGACATTTTTGCACTTGAGAAAAAAATTAATGACACTTAACTTAAGTAAATGTTTAAACTACAAAAATAACTCAAAATATTCAAACACACCTAAAATTTGTAAACATTTGATAACATTAATGCCAACATAATATATTGGATTAGGAGGCTCTAACATTTTTGACTACAACTAATTAAGAACGTTGATTATTTTGTAGATTCTGTTCAATGTTAACAGACTAAATCTTGAATGTTATTTGTATTCTGTACAAACAAGCAATTTTGATTACAATAAGACATGTCTGATGAGCTAAATTTTACACTTTTTGTCTTAAATAAATAAATCTAAGTATACTGGTGCTTGTCAAATGAAGTAATTAACCACACATAAAAATGATTTAGTTGAAATTTTTAAGAATGCACCCTATAGATACTTGTATGAATGCCAGAACTGCACATTTTCAAGCACCTGCTCACAGGTGTTTTGACACATGCACAAACAATGCACATGTCAGGCCTAGTATGCACCAAAGAAAGATATTCATAGCATGTATTTAGCTTATACAATGATGTTAAACTATTAAACTAGAGGTTGCTCAATTGTATGGACAGAAGTTTCCTTAAAATATTAAAAGTTCTGTAAGACCCTGTTTACACTTGTACGAAATTGAACCGATCTTTATTTGAATCGATCTTAAAAAGACCAGTTCAAGTTTATATTTGCACAAGCAAGAGCAATCAAGATCGATTTTATTTAATCTAGTGCGTTTACACTGCAACATAAAAAGAACCCTTATGACCTGATTACTATACATTTTGTAAACAAACAATCGTAAAATAGAATAGAATGATAATGTGTGCATCTCGTATGGAAAATCACACACTGTAAAATCATGGAGAAAATAGTTGGATCATTGGAATTTCGTATGCTGATATTATCTCTTTGGTTCACATGTAACCTGTCATTAAACAAAAAAATGAGAGAAGACTATCACTTTAAAATGAAAGGTCAATTTAATGCATTTGAAGATGAGTATTTGCAGCAAAGAAATAAAATTTATCGATTCAGAAAAATGATCCAAAACGGCGAAAACTATGTTTACTTTTCTTATCCCATCCATCGTTTTTTTAAACAGGTGTGATTTTGCCGACAATCATGCACAGATTTATTTTCATATCTAAATATAACATTCACTCGAAGAAAGATCTATCGAGATCCATCTATGCATTTACACTTGAAGAAAGATCGATTCAAATAAGATTGATCTTTTTTAAACCACCTCTGGAGGTGGACTTTTTAAGTCTGATTGAAGATTGATCTTTTCCCTTTACGTTAGAATAAAGATCGATCTCAGGAAAGATCGATCTTTTTTACATGTGTAAATGGAGTCTTGGTCTGCAAAATACTGTGAGGAATTTTTGATAGATTACAGTTGACTTTTATTGTGTCAACCCAGAAGTGAAGATTTCTCAAAAGGCACAAAATAACTCAACCTAAAAAACTGAATCCAAATCTGGTATCCAAACTCTTAGCATTTTATCTTGGCAGGGAATCAGAATGTCTACTTCTTTCTCAGTCCTATGAACATTAAGTTTCAACATTAAAGTTACATATTTCAAATTTGTTTTTATATGATTTTATTTTAAGCCAGCATTACTAAAATTTAAGTATATCCTCATGATATATTGCAATACCCAGCAGTAGATAAACATTTTTTACAGGTTCAAATATTTCTGTAATAAAATATTGGAAATACCTGCAGTATGGAATAAACAATAACAGAATTTGATTGACAACCATACTGTTTAATGTTATTTTCTATGCAGATTTGTTAAACGCTTAAATGTATGTTCAAAGAACTCTGCAGCATGCATGAAATTAATAAACTCATCCGAGGAAGACATGATACATGTTTATTTTGATGTATGGCCGTCTTCTTTTTGATTTACATACAAAGTAAACAGATAATATGTTTGAACTATCTCATCAATTTTATTTTAATATCATAATGTTAATGCCATAAATCCATCTTTGCAATTTTAATGATTTCACATATCTTTTTAGTTTCTTAATTACCATTTAGAAAAAAAATTAAGTGTATTTTACCATTAAACTAATTAAAACCCTTACATTCTATCAAAGACTTCATAAAAATATTTTGCTAACATAATGGTACATTAGAAAAGAAAGAATTCTTGCAGGACACTTTTCAAAACCAAGACCATTTATTAACACTTTTTTGTATGATCCCATTTGTAATCATGATTTCAACAGCTGTGGTTTTTTTTTTTACCAATATGGCACCTACTCCATACTTTTCAAAAATGCCCTACTTGAACTGGGTTGAAAGCTGGATGTCCAATCTTACAGTTCATGGTCCATATACCTTTTCTAGATGTTCAATCTTACAATTCATGGTCCATATACCTTTTCTAGATGTTCAATCTTACAATTCATGGTCCATATAACTTTTCTAGATGTTCAATCTTACAATTCATGGTCCATATACCTTTTCTAGATGTTCAATCTTACAATTCATGGTCCATATACCTTTTCTAGATGTTCAATTATGAAACTGTGACAACTTTAATGCCCTTCATGTAGGTATTATGATGCTTTTCAACAGTGAAAAAGTTTGACATGCTATTCTGGTAAAGTTATCATACCTTAATATTAAGTGTTGCAGTGAAGCTATCTGATTTTCCTGGTGAGGGTGTAAGTTTGATGTCATAACGACCCCCATTTTTCAGTTCAGTTGTTCCCTGGAACCATTTGATGGTTGGCTGTGGTTTAGCTTCTAAGTTACATGTCATTATAAGGTTAGTTTTCTCTTGTTTGATGACTGGTTTAGCCAGGAATTGAGGTGCTTTTCCTTCTGGTCTATAAAAAGACAGTCATACATAAGAATACATCAGTCATTCTAATATTACAAGGATGGAAATCAAAATTTTCAAGTGGAACCCCAGCCTATATATCTGGTGGCCTAGAGTTATAAGATCAGGCAAAAATGTGGTATAAATTAGTAGCCTTGCTAATATTTTACAGAAAATGGGTTACTGGGTCCCTTCCAATTTCCATTCCTGTATTATCGTTACTACCTAGAGTACAAGATTAAACCTGCTAACATTGGACGATGACTGAGTATGGTCTTATCTTACTACCTACTGAGTACAATATTAAATCTGCTAACAATGGCCCATGACTGAGTATGGTCTTATCTTACTTTCTACTGAGTATAAGATTAAATCTGCTAACAATGGACCATGACTGAGTATGGTCTTATCTTACTTTCTACTGAGTATAAGATTAAATCTGCTAACAATGGACCATGACTGAGTATGGTCTTATCTTACTTTCTACTGAGTATAAGATTAAATCTGCTAACAATGGACCATGACTGAGTATGGTCTTATCTTACTTTCTACTAAGTATAAGATATACCCTTCCTTCAAAGGTGTGTAATTGTGTATGGTCATTTTTATTGATATCATATATAATTGACAGAGGGATACAAAGAAGTGCACAGCAAAACTTATGCAGTAAAAGGCTTATGTAGCCAGCTACCATTTAAATGAATTTTTCAGTGCTATTCTCAAAAGAAAATCTAAAAAAAATCAAGGAAAAAGGTAAAAATCTTAATGAAACTCAATGTATTTGAAGAATACATGCATACATTCCTCTTGAAAAAAAATATCCACAACCTTAAAATCAATATCACATGGTATTCTATCTCGTAATAATAATATGAATTAATATGTGTCTGTATATATATATATAAAAGGTCGAACAGTTTAACAAAACAATTAGTAACTACTACATTTAGAAAAAGAAAAAGACTGAAATGGGATATGTGATTTACAAAGATTGGTACAGTATGCATATACTTACGCCTTCTTGGCTCCTGTAAATAAAAACAAAGAAAAAACATTAAGGAATGTATAGAAGAACAGGTTTAAATATCTGATCTATTTCAAGCATAATCTACAAATAAACAAAATGACCAAGCTTCAGTCTTCTAAAAAGTTATTGTATAATTCTGTATAAAATCAAAAGATAGAAAGTCTTCTAATCAAATAAGGAAATATTTTAAAAACAAATTAAATAGAATCTTGGGTTCAAAATAAAGAGGTATAGTAAATTAACAACAAAAAGTTACATGTTAATGTTAAATAAAATGAAGAATATAGACCATTCAATAATAGTATATAGAAATCTTTGTAACCAGTTTAAATAATTGTCTGGGCTTAAAGTAAGTCCAGTGTCATGATATGGCTTGACTCAACAACTTTTTGCAGTGATTCAATTTTTTTTGTGGTCACAAGAATCTCTCTACATGTGCAGAAAAAATGATTTGGTTAAAAATGAACTTAACAATAGTGAACTTAAAAGCATACATGTATGTCAATTTTTTCAACTTGCGAGTTAACTCAAAAAACTGTGTAGGAGTAGAAAGCATGGATCTTGAAGGATTTATAAGCTATTTTGTTTAATGATAAGACAAACATTATTTGTTAGAAAATTGGTATAACTTGATTGCATCTGGCCGTTATAACAAATTGGATTAAGGCCAAGCATAATATAATAAACTAAAAAGAAGAAAGCAGTGAAAGCTCATTTTTCTGAAACATACATTTCAATATAACATCTCAGTTTTTTCTGCTAAAAAAGTTTATGTTCAGAAAATTCCAGGGACTTTATGTTTTATGTGTTAAAACTGGTAAAAATTTTATTAATCAGATTTTCAAAAACTAAAGCAAGCATTAGTTATTATAGCAGACCCCCATGAACTTGTCAATGAAAAAAATTACTTATATATACCTTAATAAAACACTATGTATTATATTGTGTTATTTTATAACGTTATGTTTAGGTATATATAGGTATTTTTTCAGAAACAAGTGCCTGTGTAGCCAAACAAATTCTGAATGATGAAAAAGATTTTCTATGGTATTCAAATCTCCAATTAACCCTACAACTGACAGCCTATAAATTTTCCTGCCAAAACATAAATTGGTTACTTAGTTATCCTCACAGTTTTATTTACATAAAAGTTGAAGTGTTTCTATCAGATATCAAAGTAATGACTTAGATCCCATCTTCAAAGTCTAATGATCAGGTCATATCATTTACAGTAACCTGAATAATGGTCAGGTTGTTACATATAGAATTAAGGCTTCTTCCTTCCTTTAAAGTTTATCAACCCTTCAGTATCGATTTGTCTGCATGTCCTTTTACCAAAATATAATTTTTTTTCATTTAATTTCGTCCCTCATACTATAAATGCTCTTCTTTAGTCCCCCCTCCTCCTCACTTTCAACAGTGTATGTTTTTATCACTTCTAAAGTTATTGTGTAGCCTGGATGACTACAATCCAAATCAATGGTTTGTCATTACTTTTTTTTTATAGAATCACTTAAACGATGTGAGGATAAAACTTCCCTTACCAGGCTTATCTTTAGCTGGAATAAGGACAAAAGAAAGATGTGAAAATAATACGTTGCATTTATGAAATGAACTAAAAAAGTGCTTTGTGTCTATTGTTTTATGTTAATTGTTTTTGTGCCTTGTACCGATCTTGTGGGTTAAGCCAACTGCAACTGATTTTTATACTTTCTTCTCCATGTTGTGCTGTCACACCACTGTCCCAGGTTAGCGGAGGGTTGAGTACTCACAAACATGTTTAATCTTGCCACATTTTTTATGTGCCTGTCCAAAGTCAGGAGCCTGTAGTTAAGTGGTTGTGGTTGGTTCATTTTGTTTTTTTGGTGTTTTTTTTGTAAATTGTTTTGTTATAAATAGGCAGTTAGTTTTCTCCTTTGAATTGTTTCACATTTTTCATGTCAGGGCTTTTCATAGCTGACTATACCTATGGGTTTTTTTCTGTGTTGAAGGCTGTACGGTTGCCTATAATTGCTTATATCCACTTCATTTGAACTCTGGAGGATAGTTGACTCATTGGCAATCATACCACAACTACTTTTTTTTATAAAGAAATTAATAAACTGATAATTCTAAACATTTCATTAAATAGAAGAAAATAATAAAAAAAAAAAAAACAATTGACATGCTACACTAATGTTAGCTCGAAGAAATATTTTTGGGGTACGATGGTCCACACACATTGTCTGGCCGGTTGTTATTAGTTATGTTTATCAAATATTCAATATCGAACCAATGATCAGATTCAAATTTTAGGATGCCTTGTTCTTGATCTCATGAATTGGATTTTTGAATTCTATGATTACTTATTCTTTTTTTTAGAAGGACTTTTAATGTTAAGTATATACCTATTTGTTCTCATTAAGCTTTGATGTAACTTCATAATTGACCCCTATTGACCACCTACCAATTGTTGTAAGACGTAAGAGATGTGGAATTACAGGATATAATTCACTGTTTGGAAGTCACAGTTATAATTGCGACAAATGTTATCAATCTGAATAAATTTGTTGCACCAAAATGTGTATATTTAGTCTCCAGACTTGATCAAATTTAACTGTTGTTCATTGAACATTTCCCTCTGACAAATGGATCTAGCAAGCAATACACAAGTTTGACAAAAAAAAATAAAATTTTTTAACAAGTCCTTTTTAATATTCAAATTGCTGGTATTCTGATAAACAACTAATTAATTTGGTGTGGAATTGAGGGATATCTGTTCACATTTCTAAATGATTATATCACAATATACACTTTTCATTTCTATCTCCTATTTGTTTTAGAAACTTGAACCTACCTTCAAAATTGAGAGTGATGGTAGCTGTGGAATCTCCTAAGCTATTTTTGGCGAGACATTTATATTCTCCGCCATCATCCTTTCCAGGTTTGTCTATTTCCATGGAAACATCATAATTGTTTTTATCGCCTGTTTGAATCATTTTATAACGTCCTCCATCTTTAAGGGTTTGTGTACCCTTCATCCATGTGATTGTTGGTTTTGGATCAGCAGTAACTTTACAGTCAAATATGATTTTTCCTCCAACTTGTTTGATAGCTGGTTTGGTTGTGAAGGATGGTCTAGTACCTTGTGGCTTACCCTTGTCCTCACCTAAAGATTACAAAAGTATATTGTAAATCTATGTACAAAAGAGGGACGAAAGATACCAGAGGGACAGTCAAACTCATAGATCGAAAACAAACAGACAACGCCATGGCCAAAAATAAAAAGACAAACAGACAAATAATAGTACAGATGACACAACATAGAAAACTAAAGACTAAGCAACACGAACCCCACCAAAAACTGGGGGTGATCTCAGGTGCTCTGGAAGGGTAAGCAGATCCTGCTCCACATGTGGCATCCGTCGTGTTGCTTCTGTTATTACAAACCGGTAAATAGTCTAATTCAGTAGGTCACATTCGTGAAAAGGGAAGGGTATTGTAGTTACGACATAAGAAACATTGTACTAACCAAGTAAATAAAATTGAAATTTTTAGCCATTTTTAAACATGGGTACAATGCATGTTTTTGAAGTACTATGGATTCGTCATCATTCAACAAATTTCAGTGTTAAAGTCATATGAAACTTCAAATTTAGAAAAAATGTTAAATATGTTTTATATACTTGAATGGCTAAGTTTTACTATAATACAAGTGTACATGAACTTTCTTGTAAAAGAAAATCATTTATATTATCAAAATCTTCATAAATATACTGATATTGAATTATTGTCTTCCCATACACTAATTCACCATATTTTTCCCTGTATGCAACGACCTTAACTACTAGACCTCAATAGAACTTTGGCCACTGCACAGTGCAAGAATATAGGATCGTAATAAATATAAAAACGTGCATACAGGACTTAGTTTAGTATATATGCATGCATTGGTAAAATAATTTCGATAACATTAAAATCACAAGAAACTCGTTTCATATGATTTTAAACAAAAAACAAATTTTTTTATGGCTTGTATGCAGAATTTTACGAAAAAACAAAAACATGAAATCAAATATCAACTTAAATACAATTTTCCTTAAACCACAAAAATAAATCACAGTACACACAAAGAAAAATAAGCACCAACAGTTACTATAATGAATTGAATGATGGCTACTTCACAGAGTAACAAATATATTAAACAATTTGTTCAATATACTGAAGCCAACAGTCCAACCAGACTACAATCCAGTAAGAGACATTGGGGTTAATGTTAAAATTCCTGATATATCTCAGTTAAGTCTTCCTATTAAAATTGATGAACTTTTTATCCTGCAACCAAATGTTATCCTTATTTCATTGCTGTATAGCTGAATACCTAATGATTCATTATAGAAGAGATTTAAAATAATGTTTTTCAAAAAACTATTCAAATCAATGATTTGGGAACCAAATGAAATAATACTTGAATTGGTTCAGAAATTTTTGTTTTGAAATTGGGTTTTGTATGAGGCTAATACATTGTAGCTATATACATAACACCTTCACTAATAATAGTGAGGCTAATACATTGTAGCTATATACGAAACACCTTCACTAATAATAGTAATACTTGTTGTTTTACTTTACAAATATTTGCGTTTTAACAAGAGAATTCATTGATATAATGAAACTCATCAAATAAATTCAACTAAAATTTTAATACCTGTAGATTAATCTATATTCAAATTAGTATTTTTTTAAAAGTGAAGTAGCTTGCAGGAGAAGTGAACTGAATGCAGAATATTATAATTATACAACAAATGCAGAGATCATACCGCTGAGGTAATGGTACGCTGAGATAATGGTACGGATATCTGATAATGTTCTTCATTAGAAAGTGAAGATTTTCTGAGAGATTCTCATCTTTAAACTAAATATTATTCTTGGCATGAAAGAACTGATTGAAATACAAGTTCATTTAAGGTTGAGAAGAGTTAAAACAAATACAAATAAATGCATTCTGAATAAACTTGTATTTCAGTACCAGGTAAACAAACGACCTTTTTCTCATAGAACAATTGAAAAACAAATGGCCTGTTTTTAATAACATACATCCCAGTCTTAAACTTTCAAACAGAATAATTTGGCAATATTACAAAAAAGTTTTAAGAGCATCTGCCCTGAAGATAAAATTCTTCAATGATTTAAGTAGTTAAGAAACATGACAAAATGTTATTGTTACAATTTCAATTGTAGTGTAAGTTATGGTTTACAGCTTTCTCAACTTGGCATAAGAAATAACTTATTATAACGATATCAAAACATAGTGATTTTTTTCTTTAAAACTGCTGATGCACCTTTTTAAAAAGTAGATTGTATTTAGTTGCCAGAAAAATAGCAACCCCACCTAAGACATGAGTGGATGATGATGATTGATTGATTTTTGGTGTAAACCACCACTTTCAGAACTATTTGCTATATCGTGGCGTTCAGTTCTTATTGGTGGAAAAGCTGGAGTGCCTGGAGAGAACCACAATCTTCAGCAGAAAAACAGGCAATTGTAGTCAATTAAGATTGGAGTTGAATGCACCTGCAAGGTGTGAGGTTTGAACTAATAACCTCAATTTTGACAAAAGTTATTGTCCGAAACCAAATGTCAAAAGCCAGAGTGCCAGGAGAAAAGCAGCGACCTTCGGTAGGAAAACTGACAATCCTAGTCAATTAAGATTGGAGTTGAGCTTACCTGCTACGTGCTGGATTCAAACTCACAACCTCGGTGTTGACAGGCTAGTGATACAGTAGTTCAACTACTTAGACTACTAGGCCACAAAGGCCCCATGTGTATATGCATGATGTTAAAGTAATACAAGACACCAAATTCATAAATTTCAGTTCTGATAAATAAAACCTTAATTATGATTAATAATAATCAATGAATGTTCAACAAAAGATAGGTGTAAAGCTTTTTAGTTGCAAAATTAAGTTTGCATGAATTGGTTATTCATTGATATCATTGATGTCTAATTTTATACAAATCTTGCCAACACAGCTGTAGATTTCCAGCCTTATAATAACATATGTATGAGGTTGACCCAGTAGTCAGACACTGATGGAGAGGTGAAAACTTGCTTGCTTATTAAATGATTTAAAACATTCTAATGATTCTAATGTATGTGTTTAATGGCAAAAAATACTATCTTTATTAACTGAATAGTATTTAAATAAAGCATTGTTGTTTTCTGATATATTTTTATCTTCTAAAACTGCACATGTATAGTTTATCTCTAAATAGATTCAAATAAGAAGTAAAATGCAAACTATGCATACGGGAAGATAACTTTTCTAATAAAGACTTTATTCTTTCATAATGTTTATAACTGTCATTTAATTAAAAAACAATAGATGTATATTCTATATTCATGATATTATTTTAATCAACTGAATAAGAAACAATAACAAATTTTCGATTTTCTAAATGCTTCCAATTGGCAGCTTGTATAACTTTAAATCATTAAAATAAATGAAAAACAATATACATGTAACAGGAAAACTATGACAATCAATAAGACTTCAAAATAAAATTATGAGAAAAAACTTTGTCAGTGCGGTTACAACTAGAATGTTGAAGTACTAATTTAGTTTCATAGGCAAATTAAGTGATAGGATGCCTACATTTGGTAAATAAAACACTGACAGATAATATAACATTTGGGCCACTGGCCTTCTTCAGTTTCTTTATTATCCTTCTTAAGCTAATTAACAAATTATTATGACGTCATAACATTGCCAAGAATCTAAACATATAACATCTTAATGATTGTGATCGTGAAATGTCTACCATTTAGTATAAGAAGGCTAATAAAGGAACTGAAGAAAGCCAGTGGCCGAAACATCTTAAATCTGGTTTAATTACTACAATAATGTAATATGTGTTCCCTCTTGGAATTTTGAAACAAGAAGATAATATATCATTATCAATGAAAGGTGAATATAATCTATTCCAAAATTTCTTTTTTCTGAAGGGAAATACTCTTCCAAAAATACACCTTTACATCCATTGTTAAATAAACCTGTTGATATCCTTTCTTTAAAGTGTACAAAAACCTATTTTCACAACAATGTCAAGAACTGAAAGAGTACAACAAACCATTTTTAGAACAATGCCAAGAACCGACCGTACAAATGTCAACATGTACTATGTGCAAGACTGGCGCAACAACCTATTTCATGACCACCTATATTCACTGATTTCTATCAGCAAAATACCATGTAATCATCATTAAGTTTGTGTTTACATCTCTAGTAACCCTAGGTTGTATAAGTTTACAGCTTACATAAAATCTTATGTATAGATACTATATACCTAAAATAAACATGGTGTTACGCTGTTTACAAAAGTCTGCAGAGAAGATGAGGCTAAAATCTTGTTGATACTACAAAAAACTTGTAGCAATGATGTAAAATTAGATAAAACAACATGTCAAAATGTACTGACACAACATAAATCGCTGACAAATGGTGGAAAGTAACTATTCATTTATGGGTCATTGTCTCTGATGACCAAGTTTCTACTTTGCATTCTCACCACAAATAGCACTACTGATCATATTAACAACAAAGAAATAATTATTTTTAGCGGACAATTCAATCTTTATTGGCAAAAATTATTAGGTGACATTCTCTTTCCTATGACGTCATTTTATGCTATAGACAATATGAGTATGATTGAAGATGTGGGTAAAATTGTGTTAACAGGCTTAGTACTAGTCTAAGTTCGTGATAATATGACCATGCTTTATTGACTGAAAATTAATCTCCAAACAAGCAAATAGTCGTGTATAAAATGAGCAGCTGATGTAATTAAATGATACAAAAATACTTTAAAGTGGAACACTTCTACCACAACAACAATGCAATTAAGTTTTACTTACTATCAAAATTAAGTCTAATTGTTGCATTACTTTCTCCCAGAGCATTTTTAGCAGTAACTCTATAATTTCCAGCATCCTGGGCACTTACACCATTGATTTCTAAAACTATGAAGTAGTTGTTATTTCCTTTGGGGTCTGTCTGTATCTTAAATCTACCTATAAACCAAAAAAAATATATAAATATAACAAATGCATTCATCAAAATACAAATGTAGATAAATGTAGTCCATACATAATTTGAGCTCTACTAGTACCAGTTATAGTCTTTTAATAGGATTAATTGTTTAAACAGGTACACAGTTGTGGCGTGATTGTCAGTTTGCAAAGAATTCCGCTCAAGCCAGTGCTAGAAGCCGTCTTAAACTTGCAGTGAGGTGAGAGTTTTTTTGCTCCTTGTTGAAGGCATCACAGTGACTTTGAGATGAAGAACAACAATAAAAGCGTTGTTCCTTTGCTTTTTGTGTTTTTTGTGTCCACATTTGTTTTTGTGTCATGGATAAATACCCTATAACCCTTCTTTTCTATTTCATGTAAATCCTTCCTTACCTCCATCTTTGATTTGTTGATCATCCCTGAACCATGTGATCTGTGGTACTGGGTCTGCTGTCAGCTGACATTCAAACAATAGTTTCTTTCCATTGTCAGCTTGTCTTGTAGATGGTTTCTGTGTGAAATTGGGGGCAATGCCATCTTGTCTGTAAAATTTAAGCAAAAATGAACAGAAACATATGATTTTAGTTTTATAAGGGAAAATTGTACTTTTCGGAACCGCAGAAGAATGTGCATAAAGTAAATGTTATTTTATCACTTACTGGTCATGGATCAATTAACCTAACAATGACAATGTCATGACATGCATAGGAAGGACTTCTGAAATATTGTCATGTTTATAAACCATGCCACATTCTTTGCATACCTGTCCCTGGCCAGGAGTCTGTAGTCTAATGGTTGTCATTGATCGATCATTTGTTGCTGTCTGCTATAATCATTTTTTCATTTAATGTTATTAGCTTAAATTAGGCCGTTGGTTTTCTCTTTTGAATTGTTTCACAATTTTTTCCTCAGGCCTTTTATAGCTTTCCATATAGTGTGGGATTTGCTCATTGTTGAAGGCTATACAATGATGACCAGTAGTTGTTTACATCCTTATTCTTTGATCTTCGGTGGACAGACATCTCATTGGCAATCATTCCACATCTCATTTTTTAACATTCTCCACAATGTGTTACAAACAAGTGCAATGCACCATGATTCAAAGCACTAAGACATCAAAAAGAAGCCTGGCTTCTGTAAAGGATCAATTTGTAGTTGTCAGCTGGGTGGCTACAAATTGTGGATCTTCTTATTAGATAACAGTTTAAAACATATCCTCTGTTGAATGTCAGGTATTTGAAGTATAGAGTGTTATCAATGGTGCTGAAATCTCAATTATCTATACACTGACATTGATTTACTAACTATATTGATGAAAATCAAAGTCAGGTTGAAATGCCAAAAGTTTAAATACTACTAACTACAGCAACAGATGGTTTACATACAATAATATAGTCATATTTCTGTCATGAACTTGCACATAGTTTAAATTCTTGCAATTTTCTGATAATTTTGAAGTGTATTTATGGAAATTGATCGAGTGTTTGATGATAAATAAACACGATGTTGAAGTCTTAGATGAAACAAAAGGTGTTAAATATGCTCTCATCTTCAAACAACTGTCTAACATTTTGGAAAAGGTCTCGAACTAAAAATTCTTTATCTAAAATATTTACATTTTAAAATTTCTTAAGTCTATTATCTGTCTTATATTTGAAAATGCTTTAGATGCTATTACATGTATCTCACTTTATCTATAATTTATCAAACCTACAAAGTGAAAAAAACTAATTCTTAGATCCAAGTTAAGAACAAAATAAATATTTTGTGAAATGATTAAAAAAAACCTATGGTATAAACATCAACAAGACAGCTATCCAACAACATACAGAATGGAAAATGCAAAACTAGTGATCTGTCATATTGTGATGTGATCACAATATGGTCTTCAACAAAAAGCTTGCAGTAATGCCATTTAGTGCAAGAATTATGCACCTGTCCTAAGTCAGGAGCCTGTTGATCAGTAGTTGTCGTTTGTTGGTGTGGTTCATAAGTGTTTCTTGTTTTTGTATATAGATTAGAATGTTGGTTTTCCTGTTTGAATTGTTTTACACTAGTCATTTTGGGGCCCTTTATAGCTTGCTATTCGGTGTGAGCCAAGGCTCCGTGTTGAAGGCCTATAATTGTTTATTTTTTATATATTGTGGCTTGGATGGAGAGTTGTCTCATTGGCACTCATACCACATCTTCTTATTTATATGTACTAATGAATATGGATAAAATGAGATAGAAACACAGTGACAAATCAAGACCAAAAGACATCTTTAAATGTTATGTGAAATATTGCAACACCTGCAACACCACTAAGGTTATTTTTTTTTTTAAATTTCAATGGTTTTCCATCAATTTTTTGAAAAATTCAACAAATATGAACAGCCTTGCATAGTATTTACAGTATATACATATCTTCTAGGAAGATTTCCAAAAGTTACATACATTTATGTTAATAAAACCAGGTGTGAAGCAACTTTGTTTTAGAATTGACATTGACCAAAAGCACAAAAACGATTATTATACTATAATTTTAGCTTATGTTTAGATGAATTAGAAACAGGAACAGTTTACACCTGCATTTTCTTGTGTGGCCAGAAAAATAAGAAGTTTGAAGTGATACTTTGTCTTAAGTTGTACATGTATCAGATGGTTTATGATTGGGCTTTTGGGGGTTACATTTGTAAATCATTAATTATATAAGTTAATTTATATTAGCAAATGTTCAATGTAGGGATCATTATTTTGCATTTTTGTGTTATATTGCCTTTAAAAAAAGGTAAGGTTTCATGATGCATCATCCCACAGGATTTAAAATTGGAAACTTGCTAGTTACACCCTCATGATCCAAATGTTAAATTTATTATTTTATCCAACTGGAAAGAATGTTTGTGGTCAAACAAAGTTGATGTTAGTTACACCATGTACACATGAGCCAGTACTTTCTGTATATGTAAACACTGAATTAAAGATCAGGGATAATACAAATGATCCTCTATCTTAAAGCTTCTTGTCATTTTGAAGTCTAATACTTAACTAAAGTATACATTAATATCTAAAACTCACACATTTAGCAATTTGTTGGCTAATAAAAATAAGAAAATGTACATTAAACTAAAAGCAAAAAATTCAAGATCGTCTAATTGACATTTTTGAGCCACCCAAAAATCCAAAATCATGGCAATATGCTATTTGTAGTATAATGGATTGTGATGAATACTATGTTTGAAAATTAAATTATCAACTTCATTTATTACAATAATCAACTGTGTGTGTGTAGGGTGCTCAGGGTTTGAAATTAGCAGTGGCCCACTCGCCAATGGGCCCTAAAATTTGGTGTGGGCTACTAAAATTTCTGTTTTTCCTGTATAGAACTACATATATTGGCTACCAAAATTTATACTGTGGACTACCATGCCAAAATTTTAACTTCAATCCCTGGTGCTAGATCCTAGTCGCTATGTTTTTATTCTATCTTGGTTGGTTCCTGCATTTTGGATACTGATATAACTAACTTTCATGAATTTCAGTGAACACTATCATGACTATAGTGAAACATTTGGTTAATAATAAGACAGGAGTTTCAAAGTGAGAAGATACAATGCACTTTCTCCCTTATGAAATGAATTTTGTATACCCCTGAAATTGGAAGATTTTATCATTGTTTTTAAGTTGTTTAAAATGAAAGATACCATGGGTTAATACAAAACCACTAGTCGATTGATTGGTGTTAAATGCCACCTTCAGCACTATTATGCTATTCGTGATTGGTGTTTAATGCCACTTTCAGCACTATTATTCTATTTCATGCCAATCAGTTTTTATTGTTGGAGGAAGCCGGAGTCCTGGGAGAGAACCACCAACCTTCGGTATGAATACTAACAATCCTAGTCCATTAAGATTGGAGTAATGCGCACCTTCCAAAAGCAGGATTAGTGATACAGAAGTTCCACTACTTAGACCACTTGGCCACCGAGGACCCCCACTAGTCGAAGAAAGACAGATGACATCATTGCCAAAAAAAGAGAAAAAAAATACAAAACACTACACAAAAAATTAATAAAAAAAAGCAGGTTAACCAAGGTGCTTATTACTATTATCAATACTATGCTTAGGTACATATTATTGAAGAGTACCGCCTGAACTAGTTTGGATATCGGATTACTTTAATACTTGAAACCCTTAATTCAGCATGTGACAATAATCCTATTGAAAATTTGCATGTTAGGAAAGGTACATTGTACATGTACTAGTCAAATTTATTGGAATGCTGCTGGTCATCATGTTTTATATTCCATATGAATTGTATTATGAAAAAGATGTGTGTAGTTGAAAAAAAACTACATCATGGCCAAATTTGTTATTACATGTAAATATCTTATTTTGCTATGGTGAAAAATACAAATACAAATACATATATTTTATTAGCACAAACTCATCAACAATAAATGGTTAAGGCTCATGGTATATTAGTTACATAGTTGATCATACATAATAAGTATTGCAAATAATGACTATATTAATATGTAATATTATAAACAATGATTATGAATTAGACATAATGACAATTTTATAGAGTTTGTTCTGCTTTACGCAGGTTCAGACTGTCTGAAATGAAAGAGGAAGTCAATTTTAGGATTGTGTATGAATTATTATTTAATAAAAAGATTACATTATTTTCATTTTTTTGAAATTTTGTAGGATCAACGATTATGTTTGAAACTTTTTGGTAAAATATGGCCCTTTTAGTTGAGTATTTTTCACAATGTAAAAGAAAATGTTTTTCATTTTCAATTTGACCAGAATTACATACAGAGCAGTATCTTTCATTTCTGGAAATATTTAGATGTCTCCCTCTTTCAATCATCAGTATATGAGCGCTTATACGGATCTTACATATTGCAGCTCTGTCACTTCTGTTTTTCAATATATCAACATAGGGTGGTCTTCTGCCCATTATGTATACACTCTTGAAAAAGTCTAACTTTTTTGATTCAAATATATTTGCATTTTGAACTTGCAAACATTGGTCATTAATTCTTTGTTTAATGGAATTTAAATTACCTTTAACATAATTAAAGTTATTGATGATATAAGACATTCCAAGTCCATTCAAAAGACTCTTGACCTTTATGACCCAAGGGTTTGAATCTACAGATTTAGTGAATATATCATATGCCAAAGAATTTTCCGAAGAAACTATATGGTTCAGGTAGTTGAATATTGAATATAATATTTTATTTTTCAAGGGAATTCTATTAAGTTCGGCTCGACATCCATCATTAGATGCCTTACAGTGAACCCCTAATATATCTTTGATAAATTTAACATGAAGTTTTTCGAAGGGATCAGAGTCTTTAAAATGTGAATCCACCCCCCAAATTTCACTACAATATGTAAGAATGGGAGTAACTAAACAATCAAACAATTTTTCAAGAAGTCTACATGGGTTGTTGAGACCTATAGTTTTCTTTATTTTATAGTATGCCTTCCTGGCTTTTTCCATTAGAGTATTCACAGCAAGGCAAAAATTGCCATTAATCTTTAAAACAATACCCAAGTAACAATAATTTGTAACCGTTTCAAGATATGCATTATCATAGGTAAAATGTTTTAACAATGTCTTGCCATTAGAATTAAATATCATAATTTTTGATTTATCAGTATTAACTTGTAGTTTCCATGATGAACAATATTCATGTAAAATATCAAGAGATTTTTGTAGACCCTCTTTGCTTTCAGATAGTAAAACAATATCGTCTGCATATAAAAGAATGTTCAAAGAGGTATCCCCAATGGCAACTGGATCCGTATGTTTGTTATCAAGATTACCTACTAGTTCATTTATAAAAAAGTTAAAAAGAAGGGGACTCAATACGTCACCTTGTTTAACACCCCTTTCTGATAGGAATGGAGGACTCAGCCCATTAGAGAATTTTATTCTACATACTGTATCAGTATACATTGAATAAATAACATTAAACATTTTTTGGGGGATATTATGTTTTATGAGTTTAGAAAATAAACCTAGTCGCCATACGGTATCAAATGCCTTTTTTAAGTCTATGAAGGCAGCAAAAACTTTTTTCTTTTTTTGTCTATATTGATCAGTTATGGTCTTAAGAGTGAATATGTGGTCAGCTGTACGACTTTTCTCTTTAAAACCAATTTGATTTTTACTTATTAAATTTTTGATATCCATAAATTTTACTAAACGTTTATATAAAACCTTATTGAAAAGTTTACCCAGGTTGGAACTAATAGATATACCTCTATAGTTCCCTGGATCAAATTTGTCCCCTTTCTTATGCAAGAGAACAAGTAAGCTTTCATTCCATATTCTCGGAAATTGACCAGATTCGAATATGCTATTAAAGAGTTTATGAAGTGGTTTTATTAAAGTAGGGATTGCATTTTTCAACATTTCATTGAAAAGCTGGTGGCAGCTTGACCTACAGATGTAGTCTTTGAAGGTGTTTATGAGGACAATTTTATAAAATCTTTGGATGCAGAATTTCAGTTTGTTAGCTAGGTAGTAATTATTATACATCTGTACATGTTCAGTAACTCCTCCATTTCAGCTTACATTATCATAGCTCACTTGTTGAGTTTATATAGAACATAACACCAATCAAGCATTGAGTTTACAAAAGAAATTTTCAGCTTCTGCATTATTCTTCAAAATGCAGTCTAAAACATTGCAGAAATATACTTGATCATTATTTATAAAATTTCAACTTTCAGCATGCTTTATTTTAATAATCTAATTTAATTTTTTTCTTTTTTTTGGGGGGGGGGGTATATTTTATAGAGTTAAAGTTCTTCTGCTCTTCAACATATTCAAAGTTTTAGATTGCACTTCCAAATAAAATAAAAAAAAAATCATTAGAAATTGCAGGGTATAGGGTTTATAGAAGAAAGTTATATTCAAACTTCAGATTTACAGAACCTTTAGTCCTTACCCAGACCCATAGGTATTGTATCTATGATATTGTACATGTTGTATTTGTCATCTGCCTGGATATCATTGTTAAGTTTACCCGCTTGGATATGACAGTTATGGAAGACACAAAAGTAACTTATCAGATCGTATGGTGATTAGATTCAATGCAATAACACAGTTATAAATCCAAATATGGGGCGGGAAATACAAATTTTATTGCGTGTTTTTATTTTCTTTCTTCAACTGTATTTCTAAGCATTATTCTTGGGGGACTATATACTTGTATAGCTATGTTGGCGTAACTTTCAGATAGACACATGTCTTAGTTAGTATTCAAAATCCATGTTTACAAGAGAATAAATTTCCTGTAGCAGACCAGTTTTCAAAGGGAGATAATTACAATTTATTTTAATTTACAGGTCATAGTCGGTCTGTCAATATCCGGAAACTAGTCCCTGGTCAGTCAGTCGTCAATATATAGAGCACCCGAATTCTTTTAACCATTATTGACTGCACATTGAAAGCAAACATTCCAAATATCAATAACGACCTCTTAAGATGTGGAGTAAACGTATTTGATACAAAAAGTGTATCCGAAGGTCGTCATCATGATACTATACGAATATACCTCAAGTTTTCAAAGTTCAAGCTCTCATCCATAAAAAAAACAACTTGATACAGGTTCTACATTATGAGCTGAACTTGACTAGTATAGAGATAGTTTGCCATTGGAATAACGAGTTTCGTTTTTAAGGGTTTTTTCCTTATATTTTTTTTTAATTTTTTTGGCAATTTTTCAGTTTAAGGTGTCGTTGGGTTGTTGTTCAGCTAAGTTAACAAATGTATGACATATCACTCTTTTTATTCATATAAGGAATGTTGAGCTTAAATAACAAATATTTTAACTGTAGTTTTACTCACTGTTTCTGTCCGGGTGCTGAAATAACAATTGAAATGATAATTCAATATTGTACAATAGATTGTTAGAATTCCAGATTATATTTAGGAAAACACCCCTAGTGGACAAATAAAAAAAAATGAAACAATCTTCGGTTTATCGTGTATGTCTGTCGACACATTTTTCTGTTTTAAATTAAAAAAAAAACTACCCTACATCTACCAGTTTTATTGACAGACCCCCGGTAACCGTTTGTGACCATAACATCTATTTTATTATCAAAGTGACTTTAATTGAAACACGTACAAACAACGTTTCTTCTCCAATTTCCCCGACAAAATGATCTTTTCAACGAACTCATCTACAATCTAGCCCTCAATTGAGATCAACGAGTCCAATACTCGGCAGACTGATTCAGTGAAATTTATAAAAATCTGCATACTGCATGTTATTGGGGTACAACTACCTACCAGTATTCTTTTTCATGCATAGAAAACGAAAATTTTGTATATTTCTAATTATATTGTTGGAATTCGTTTTTTTTTTCTTCATTATACGTCGTACGATACATAAACTTAAACCACATATATCCTTGAATGAACTTTGTGTTTTTTAACTCGCAAAAGTAAATGTTCTCAGTTTTCCATGTCCTTCACGGATGTTCAAATTCTTTTAGCTATTACCCAATGGTTAAAACAAGCATTAAAAACTTCAAAGTTTTACGGATTATATGTATGTGCCAAAACATTGTGTGTCGCGAACGCAAATGCACATTTTTCTACTAAGACGTCCTTTTTCAATTTTAGACGGAGAAAACCCTCACACAAATTCTTTTTAACAAAAGACTCAAAATTTACAAAAATCTAAAAATTTACAAAAATTGCAGTTTAACTATCCCATCTTTTAATCATTTATATTTTGGTAACTGGTATATGTTCAGAAATAAGAGTGTATAATAACTGTTGATAATTTTCGAACTGATTTTCTTCCAGACAAGTTTAAGCAAAATCTATTTAATATGGCAATGTCAAGCACCAAAATTAGACAGTCAACAAAGAAAAATATTCAAACATCAGATTTCGTTATTTATGATTGACATAATTTTATATCATTTATTTCTGATTCATTTTTCTGTCTATCAAGGTTAACAAATTGCTATCGAAATGCATGTAGTTATGCTACACATTTTTACACTTTTTTGCACCAAAACTGCAATTTCAGCAGCATCTTAGAAGTGATATGCATTGCCATGGTAACATACTAGTAGATGTACAAAACATCATGTATCATTATCCTATAATCATTATTTTCCCTAAACACGACAGATAGCTGTCAGAATTGTACGCCAGGTATAATGTGACGTCAAGGTAACGATAACTGCAGCAGTAGAAGAAGATTATCTTCTTGATTTTTGTCGCCACAGCAGTTTTTCATTTAGAATCTACATTTCTAAAGCACTGCCTGAACAGTTATCGTCAGTAACCCGTCAAGAATACGATATAAAAAATAAAAAGACTTTACAATCTAACAACCAGAGTAGCGAACTGTTTTTAATTTCTTTCTAGAATATTGTCCTATATTCAGAATCATAACTACACAAAAACCACCAAGCACTGTTCTGAACCTGAAAGTCGGTCGCAGACGACCGATTTACCCTTTTGTCAATCTGAAAATATTTATATGTTATGACGGTCTCGAAAGAACCATATAATTTGAGGGACAAAAACATTCCTGACATATAGTTTGCATAATAATCTGATAAATTTTACAACAAAAGTATAGCATTGTAGCAAATTATTTGGGTACATGTTTCCTCCTTGACTATCGCCTTTGATTTTGCAACAGAATACATAATATTTGATTCATAAACTTTCTGAGCATAAACTTACCACTGAAGTTCAAATTGATAGAAGCAGAGACTTCTCCGAGCTTGTTCTTAGCAACAACTTTGTAAGTTCCTGCATCGGCTTGTGTAACTCCCTTTATATCCATCATAACATTATAATTGTTCCCGCCAGCGGGTTCAACACGCATTTTAATCCTGTCCGACTGGGACAAAGGAGTTGTTCCCTGAAACCATTTAATATCGGGCTTCGGAGCAGCCTCCAAAGTACACTGGAATACGAGTAGTTTTCCATTATCTTCTTGTTTTAAGACTGGCTTTTGAGTAAAACGAGGTGCGATGTCGTCACCTACCCCCATCTTGGACCACTACCTGAAAACAAAAGTCAAGGTGTTTTTCAAGATGAGTAATGAAATACGATGTTGTTGTTATATATCACAGTTGTAGCCTAAAATGACCAGTAGTAGATTTTTTAGTAAAAGTTCAAAGGAGATTCTTTTATCTTTATTTTCTACCAATGTGTAGCAAGTAAAGGTATTTTCAACGTTCTTGTCAATATGTGTAAAAGCTTCTGTTTTAAACAAAGTAAAACCATGCAGTTTATGATTCTAAAAAAGTAGTTCCCTGTGTATTTATTCATGAAGGTTTTCCGTGACTTTTTTTTCCTGAACGTTCTTTATATAGAAAAGCGGTTTTCAGTTTGCTGTGTTTGGCTTACGTATTTGCTGTATATACTAAGGTCGTGAACAATTTTTATCAGTTGATATATAGGATCTGATAGATAACATGAAAGGGTAAAGTTGCACATAATTATAATTGTCAGTGACTTGGGTAGAGTTGGAAATATGAACACATCTGTTCTTAATCTGATTCCCTAATGTACTAAAAATGTGGAATACAAGTATATTTCAAGTCCCCAATCAGACCATATGCATGGGATTATGTATTTGTATATCCAGTACAGCAATACAAAATCGTAGCTATGGTCTTACTGTAGAGCGGCTCAGAACGGATGTCTTACTACTGAGAAGAAGTAGTTCATTACAGTCTTTTATAAAAGAGAGGCAGAATATACTAAAATGATATTCAAATCATAAGTCGATGACAAGATGACAACGTCATGGCAAAAAACAACAAAAAAACCGACAAAAAAGACAAATAACATTACACTATAGCATAGAAAACTCAAGACTGATCAACCCCACCAAAAAAACGAGAGTAATCTCAGATGCTCCGGAGGGTAAGCATATCCTGCTCCACATCTGGCAGCCTTCGTGTTCCTCATGTAAATACTAACTCGGTAATAAGCCTAACTATGTGGCATTCGAGGAATGTGGTTACGACCATTCAAAATATATTTCGTAACGGTCAACCAACTCGTTATGAATTCAACTTCACTACTTGAAAGTCTTGGTTTAATAGTTTCCATGTATGCAACAACCTTTTATCAAAGAAATCAATTGGGAGATTTATACTCCATATACACGCGCTTTTGGAATGTTGCTACATATAAATGGAAAGTACACAGTTGGGAAGCTGAATTCATCTCTTTTGTCGTAAAGTTTTGTTCTCAACCCACCCTTATTGTTTATTTCTAGATGTAAGTCAAGACAGACTTAACTGTATCTGTTGTATCTGTTATTTCAAATTCCACGGGATAGACGCGTTGAACAAAGTCACCAAACTTTGAATTATTTGATCATCTATATAGCGGAATGTGAAGTTAAAATATAATGCTAGATTCTTTTCATTCTTCATAAGAAGCACCTGTATGAAGTCTACCTCATATGAATAAAGGAACAATAAAGGATTAACGGTACTCGTATTATCTTAATTATTGACCTATGTATATTTGAGATAAAATAAGGGGGGTTCTTACTTAAACCATGGAAGTATGATATTGTCAATATCATACTTCCATGCTTAAACAAAAATCAACAAGCGGACAAGTGGTCCATTAGCGATCATATGAGCTGCATTAAGGTATATATTGCAAAAATAAACATTGTGCTGATAGTTTGCTGTGAACATACCTGAACAGTATAATCAACAATTAGAGAAAAAGGAAAACCATACTATCATAAATTGCTATGGAAACGCCAAATTTTAATGATACTAATGCATACATACTTATTGTTTATATAATTAACATATTCATCGTGAAATACTTGGGTTGAAGGTTCTCGATCAGGGCAAATTCTTTGTACATCACCTGTATCAACCTTATTTGTCTAATATTAGTATTTTAAAAAGCAAAACTAAGTTGGTTGAATGAAACGTTGAAAGTTGGTTATAATGAATATCAGCATGCATATTAACACTATTATACACTGCATACACGTTTTTATGTATACGAAAATGGACTGCATACAAGTTTTTAAGTATATGCTAGTCTCTTTATAGAATTACAGAAAACGAACATATTTCAACCAAATGACAATGGTATAATGTTTGCTAACATATAACAGAATAAAAGTATAACAAATGTACTAAATCAAAGAGAAAGTATTTCTTAGATAATATGTAAAACAAATATACATGATTTAACTATATATAGAAAGGCTTCAATATTATTTCATTACGACTAAGTATGTTTCTTATAATTTCAAAGTTCTATTTACATACGTTTACATGTAAGATTCGAGTTCTTTGCATTTTAGTTTCAGTTACATTAAGGTAAAACGGAAATGATAAGGGTCAAGAACTGAAAATAGAAACTGAATAGCCCTATAATCAATTCCTTCTTGAGTCGAAGTGAATGACGCTGCTTTAATTTATGTAACAATATATACCGGCAGAATTTATCAAATACAAAAATTAAACATTGAATTATTTTTAATAAAGATTAAAAGATAATGCATAATGTTGGAGACAAATGAAAACAAATGAAAGAAATACAAAAAAAAATTACCTATCAGACTGTTAACTTCCGTTATCCTACTGTACCAGAAAGATGTGCAAAGGTGCGCTGCCGAGGCTGAGAGTGATATGGTAATTGAACGAGTGATAATAGAAAGCACACATGGCAAATCATAATTATCCAATTAATTATGTATCTATTGATAAAGTTTATTAGCGCGTGCCATAACTTATCAATGATGCAACTTCCTTCTTCGTATAATAAGTTTTTACTGGTCAGCCTACGTATGTTGTCTTGACCCTAAATTACTAGTTAATTAATCCCCATTGCAAACATTTCAATATCCTAACACATGCAATGGAGGAATAAATCGACATAATACTAGCACGAACTATTTCAAGAGTTTCGAACTTGCCTATAGCTAGTTTTTGGTTACTTGTTTAGGACCCTTAAAATATTTATTGTTTTCGTCTTTTCTTGGTTAAGTAGATTCGACAATCTTTTATTTTAATTTGCGACCATTAGATCAATTAAACATCAGGTGGACTCATGACTTGTTCACATAAGTTTGATTCACCTTTCGTACATGTTGATAAACCTTCTGTAATGTGTATACTTGATCTTACATAGAAGTATTATCATTTACACCAAGATGTCGTTAAATGAATTTGGAAACCCTGCAATTTTCATGCTTTTCAGTCAACATATAGTCAAATCGCTGAAAGACCCTCTCCTTAATTATTGAAAACTATCATTCTGCATTGACAATAATATCTTGGTGTAAATTAGATACACCACCTATTCGGGCGTTAATCTAATACTTATAAATTAAGGTGCAACTCTCATGAAGCTCACTAAACGTTTTGTCTTACACGTTTTATGTCTCTTTTGGATCTTGACAGTTGTTTACTTGTTTTTATTTCAAAACGTTATAAATCAGTTGATCCTTGCAATGTAACCACTAAAACAGTAAAACTATGGTGAACAACTTTAATAACGAACAGAGACAACTTATGATATAGGACATGTGAACGAGAGCAACTTGACGGAAGCTAGTAAAATAGCAATGTTCTCTTTCCATTGTGTATCATTGATATCACCGTATTTTATTCTCAGACTAATACTTTAGTTTCTGCTTCTTCGTAAACATATCACATGCATGTATCCCTTAGGTTGTAGCAATATAATGCAGATGTTTATATATTTCAAGGATGCACATGTATTCATAAAAAATAACACATAAACATGTAGCTGAGAGGATGACATGTTACCCAGCGTAAAACATTGCTAATCTTGGTGATGAGATTTGTTACTTTTCGAAGGATAATTATGCTGGTTTGTCACCCTCTCAGATATGTCTATTTAATGTATTGTATTGAATGTTCTTTTTTTTTTGGTCAATACGAGATGGTAACATTCGAAAAATTGTTACCGGGCTGGTCATGTCTTTCAATATAAATTATTACACTCATACTTATTTTCTTTGCTTTTTGTGTGTTTTTTTATATGCATGTGACTGATTTTGTGTCATGGATGGATACCCCATATCCTTTGTTTTTTTATATGCATGTGACTGATTTTGTGTCATGGATGGATACCCCATATCCTTTGTTTTTTTATTTTACAAAATTATTAACACTTTTGTATAGAAAATGCGATCTTGATTCTTGTTAGGCTTGAAAGGCTTGAAAGCTGATCAGACAAAGATACTTGTATGCTAATGATTAATAAAATAGACGTTGATGTCATTCCAATATGAATAGTTATTTGGCACCATTACTAAAAATGAACTGGCATTGTCGACTATCTTTTACAAAATCTACATCTACTTACGAAAGGAAAACTAGAAGTGCCGAGTAAGTTATTGGGTAGTGGAGAGATAGACCAGAACAGTCTAATATATCGCAATTCAAAGAAATGAACTCAAGCTGAATAGATACTTATGTAACTTCCTAATTATGAAGAGTAATGATTAACGATGTAATACTGATCACTAATTCTGAAAAGATTAATCATTTACATCCTTAGCATGCAAGAGGATCATCACAAAAACCAAACACATTCGTCAATGTCTCACGTACCAAATATATCAAGTTGGAAGCTATCGAAGCCAACTACACATGTACTTTTTATTAGAGGTTAACAGAAGCACACATAATGACATTTGCGTTTGACTATTCCTTGCCCGGAAACAGGTGCTGCTACAACATTTGTGGATTTAATATATCCTCGTTGAAAAATTGATAAAAACTCTCAAAATGCGCTGTCTGTAAACCTAAAACATAGTATAATTTTCTAATGCTTATAATCTTATAGCGCACATATACGTGTTGCTTAATGCATTGTCAAATTAAGCAAACTTTCAAGAACTTTCTTCCCGAATGTGCTCATGTTGAATGTTCATAGCAGATCTAAATCCCCCCTTTCCCTTGGTATAAACGTGGTCATGTCATTCTTTAATATACACTGACTAACAAAACCAACCAAGCAATATCTTGTTTAAAATGTCGCTAGTGGTTTTCAAACGCAACGTTGATTCAGCAGTTGATTATGTAGACAATTCCGCTTCTTTTACTTGATATTTTGTTGTAGAAGGGACAGAGGGCTAAGAGAACTTACTAAATTGTAAATATTTATTGATATTTTCACCTCCCGTATTTGTCTAAGTGCTCGACCTTCCGAAGCACCTGGGTTCACCCTCAGTTTTTGTAGGGTTCGGCTTTAGTTTTCTTTGTAGTGTTTTGAAGAGTTGATATGTCTTTTTGTCGTGTTTCTTTTTGGCGATGCCTGTTTTTTCTTCTTCGATTTAATAGTACTGATTTTGCATTAGTATCTCCCTCTTTTTGTACAGTTAATTTTGTCTAGAATTCTTGGTTTCTTCAATGAAGTAAATAATCAGTACACATCTATTGGATGTATACTGATTGGTATTTTAGTCGTGGATACATTATTTTATTTTGGCTTTTGAGTAGCTTTCAGTAACAGCTAGTACTCTCAGATCGGTTCTTTGTGTCTCAAGTCTTTTTGTTAGTTGTTTTTGACGTGCTTTGTGTCGATCTGATGAGCCAAGCCTGTTCAACTAATTTTCATATTGTGCTGTTACACCACTGTCCCAGATAAGGGGATGGTTGGGCGCCCGCAAACTATTTTACCAGCCGTATGTATATGTCCAAAGTCAAGAGCATGTAGTTCAGTGGTTGTCGTTTGTTGCTCAGCTGTATATTATATTTGTTTTTCGTTTGCTGTTGTTTACATACATCATGCTCTTGTGTTTCTTGTTTGAATTGTTTTAAATGTGTCATGTCAGGGCCTTTAATAGCTTGCAATGCGGTATGGGTTTTGCTTATTGTTGAAAGCCGTATAGTTTCTAACATCTACGTTAATTGGTATCTGTTGGAAAATTGTCTCACTGGCAATCATTACACATCTTCTTTATTTTATATAAAAGTTACTTATGGATAATTCATCATCGTGGTGAATAGATTGTCCCTATATGTAGGAGATTATGAACAGAATGTCCTAGATGATAAGTAGACTGTCCTAGGAGATGATAAGTAGACTGTCCTAGGAGATAATATATAGACTGTCCTGAGGATATGACGAACAGACTGTCCCTGGAGAGTCAGAATAGTTTGTTCCTTGGAAATGATGAATAGATTGTCTCTAAGAGATGATGAACAGACTGTCTCCAGGAAATGATGAATAGATTGTCCCTAAGAGATGATGAATAGACTGTCTATAGGAAATGACGAATAGACTGTCCCTATGAGATGATTAACAGACTGTCCCTATAGGAGATGATGAATTGACTATCACAAGGAGCGTCTATATACTGTTGTATAATTTTAAATTGTGTTGCATTTTCATCATTACTTTTTATTGTGTGTTATGGTCTTTATTGGACCTTCCTTTGATTATCTCATGTCTTTAAACGAGGCTGCATGTGTTGTTAACGCTATGGACAAGTGTGGCATAGAGTTGGAGCAAACAGCTTAGTGCACTCATACCAACTGCATATTCTTCTGCTGTTGATATTTATTTGTTTTCCATACAATCATTAAACATGTTTCCAGTTCTATATATAAGTTTGACACAACAGTATAGGTATATCTAACACGAAAAAAAAATAAATGTGCGTACCATCGTTATCTATTTTTGTTTCAAAAATAGGTCCAGTGGGCAAACAAACAAAAATATTATGGTAGAAAAAGGCGGAAAATGTTACATAAACATTTTTAAAACAGATTATTTGATTATGTTAAAATTAGCTTAAAACAGAATATTTTCGGTTGATATGATATTTGATAATATATAATCTTCCTGCCGGTCAACTAGTACTTATACATGTCTAATCAATTATAGGGTATATAGAGATATAATAAATATTATATATGGCATCTTTATATTATTTGTAAAATTATAGTGGAAAAAATCATCAAATTGAATAAAAGTTCTCCATTGCACATGTACTTTTCATTTACCTCTACATTTAAATGAATTTGATTTGAAATCAACATGCTCGAACATGAGATTTTCTATGGCTGTCTTTTCGTTGATGAACCTCTATAAAATGCCAAATGTCAGGCTAAAAAGAAAGTCAGAGACCGACTTAAAATTTGACAAATGTGGACGCAACTGAACTCCACGCTGATTGTATAATCTTGGAACATCAATCTATCAAGTCCCAGAAAAAAAATCAACTCGTCTTCTTTATATGATTCAATTAGGTATTAGTATCTGATGTATTTACGTCTGTTTGGCGGGAAATAAAACACATGCAAAAGCATGGTGTTTTCAGGAGGGTATTGGTCAAAGCTGGTTTAAGTTGTGAAATGCACTCTTGCTCCGAAATCTTACATAGACACCCAAAACACATCCACCTTTACGGACTCAGTGTTTAACTAAGTACTTAGCACAATAATTGACTCGTTTTTGAGTGTCCATCGCCGAGGTTCACCGTCATTACGTATACAATATATCATGAATATGGGGAGGGGGGGGGGGGGGCAATAAAGACAATACCTTAAACTGCTAGCTGGAAATCAAGATGTTCATATTAAAAACTACATAGGTATATGATTATCCGTAAGAGATAAGTGCACATTTTCGTTGTAAGCTTCAACAATTTTAATTCATTCTATTGTAGATAAATGCAAAGCATTTTTCTACATAGAAACAATATGGACATACTTTAAGAAAAACTCAAGTTCACCTGACTTCAATTTTTCATTGGATTATTGCATTTTTATTACAAAATATCAGTCTGAGAGACTTTTAAAAAACATGTTTCTTTCATAAACTTCATAATAAGATCAAACATTTATCATACGTACGAGGCGGATATCATATAAAAAGTAAATTAAAAACAGAGTTAATGATCGATTCGTCTATTTAGCTTAAAACAAATGTTGTATTTCAATGTATACTTAACGCCCAACTATTGATTAGAAACAAATTTGTATGTATACGCGAGACATATTAATAACTGGGTATTGCAGATGTTATAAAAACGGGATGAAAATAAATAGACGTTTAGTTTAAATTTCATGATCAAGTGAATTGAAAAACATATAATAGAAACTGGGTTTACTTATTTGAAAAACGTTTTGCTTGTTAACAAGAAAAAACAGAGAAAAGAAATTTGGTTGAATTAGACTTGCATACGTAGAGGGTCCGATGGGTGCACGATACCAAAACAAGATGTCACGTAACATACAGTAGTGCAAAAATGTTATTTTGATCACTGCATCATAGAATTTATAAATAAGATTTGCATATATAATTCCAGCTTTTTTGTAATACACAATTGAAAAAACACACAAATATTATGGCATAATTAAAAAAAGAGCAGTTCTCTTTTTTTAATTGATTTTCCATTATATTTTTCTATTATTTAGTATAGGGAAACTTTTCTGGAAAAGAACAGCAACAGTTTTAGATTAACAACCTGCCTCTTCAATCTGGGGTGTGGTTACTGAAGTTGACTCGTGATGCTTTCCGTGATTTGAAACGATTTACAGCCGTTATGAAAGAGTTATACTGATGTGTTACAATTTATTTTGTTATATGTCATAAGCAAGTAATTCGTTAGTGATGTTTTAATCCTGACCCATGATCAGAACTTGTACACGCACCCACGTGTATCACCACATCAGAATATAACATGTGACAGATGACAAATCTTTAGGGGGTCAGAAAAACATGTTATATATATGTATTTTGATTCTCTGCATATCCTCTTGCATATTGAGTTACCATTTATGGCAACCAAGAACCGGAAGTGCACAGGTGACATGTTGGGAGAATTTGGTCAAAGTATTATGTTTAAATTATAAATTATCAGCAACTTAAACCCTTGTTTAAATCCCAGTAGGAGACGACCCTTCAAAAATGTGTCATGATTACAGATAGATATAAAATAAAGTATATACACAAATGTCATTATTTTTCAAGGACATGCTGCATTTATCATTTCTTGCAACATAATATTTTGTCATTTACACCTGACCGACAGCTTTGCTTTTCGAATAAGAATGATGTAATAAAATAATAATGTTTTAGTAAAAATAAAAATGATAAAATTAAAATAAGATCAATCTTCTTTCAATACTTAGGAAAAGTGCATACGTATCATGTCCGCTTATCTCCCAGTAGCAGACGATTAAAGCATTTCCTGTTTCAATTAAAAGCCGTAGCAACCGTTTCATTAACGGTCATTTGATCTTTCTATCGATAATTTAAAGTCAAAACATTGCTTTTCAAAGTTTACTCACCAAAATTTAAATGTCCAATAATTCCATGTACTGAAAGGAACCCGGTAAAACAAAACGAAGTCAGTGAGAGGTTTTCAACGACTGTCGGCCATAAGCCTAAAAGAATAGGAGCAATGGCAAATATGCAAAAAATCTAAGCAGTAAGATAGAAACCTAATATCTCGGTAGGGCTTGCCATATTTGTAACAGACGTTTCAAGAAGAGGCTTGCGTGAGAAGCGCCATGACTTCAAATGATACCAGTCGTCCAAATTAAGAACAGCGTTTAAATGATTGAAGCAGTAATGAGTTGTTCTCGCGACTGAGCGCGTGCTGATGGTGTAATGGTCGTCTGCTAGAAAGATAAAACATCCTTACAATTAATGATTTAAATACAAGAAAATCTGACAGAAAATAAACACCGAAAATGATTTGTTATATTAAAAATCGAACCACTGTACATAAGCTAACTGATCGTAAATAGTTGGAATTAAGTTATGTATAATTTTTGGGAAATTTTCACAGTGTTCATGTCTGCCTGTTTTAAAACAAATCAATTTAAAAATGGAAATATCGAACAAACAAAAAGCTGCTGTGAACATTTTGATATGATATTTAGAAATCATCGAATTCAGTGATTTTAGAATTGGCTTTAATTTTGGTAGACCGCACTGCTGTGTGATTTCTAGATTTCCAATGGGTGGGGAAGTTACATCGTATTTGCGTAACCGCCAGTTTTATATTTTGTTTCTATTATTTTCGTGGTATATATAATACAATAAAACATTATCATTACATTCGGAATTCCTGAAATCCGCAGTACATAAAAAAAACGATGTACTCTTTTACTGTTGCTGTTGTGACTATTATGCGAAATAAAACATCTGTGTCGATTATCAGTTATGCAAATAAACAAAGACCGTTTATATTTAGGTGATTATAAATGAGTCATCATAATTATAATAATTAAACAACAGTATCGAAATCACAATTCACAATATGTCAAAGAGCTGCGTATTTTTGTTGTCACTGATAATATTATCACTGACAAATTCGTATTTATTTATCTATTTGTGATGCATATAATTTTAATTATGAATTACTAAGATGTGTTTTAGCAATTTTCTTGTCATATATTTTATGTGACGAACATAATTTGACAGCGGGTAAACACAATCTAACTAAAACACAGATCTCTGATTTTGTTATGGTCATACGCTCCAACGAGAACGCCAGTTCCGATTGATCTGAATTTTAATCAGATTTATATAATTGTTGAACAATCTATGTACTTCATTAATGATGCTAGTTGTCTTTTTAAATGAAGTACTTCTCTTTGTAAAGGAAATTGATTCAATCTTTAAAAACAATTGTTCATATGCATAAATCTTTTGAAGAAAAAGATAACATGTTCATTTATTTTATTTTTAAGCATAGACCAAGATAACAAAAAGGTATGTGGTTTTTTTTTAAAGAGCTGGTTTTTTTTTTTTAAATTATACATAACTCAGCATTGATACTAAATTGATCTAAGTTTGTCGTACCCCCAAAGAAGAGCTGAACCAAAACCATTTATTAAAGTTGAGAATCGGTATACAAAAATGTCTAAAACAACTGAAAAGGTACCAAATCAAGGAAAGACTGACAGACCATGGCCAAATGACAAAAAAAAAAGAAAAGACAAAGAGCAGTACACAAAACACGAACTGCACAAAAATAAACCAAACAAAAAAGAGGAATGAGCTCAGGTTCTCGGGAAGGGAGTTTCTACTCCACTTGTGGCACAGAAAATGAATGTTCACACAAATATTTTTAATATTAGCTAATATTGTCGCATATATGAGTGTTCCAATAGATGGGAAGTATATGTATAATTGCATCAATTTTAAATGGACAGGCCGAAGATCTGAAATGAAAGATGCAAAAATAAACAATATCTGTCTTTAATTATACATGTATCGACTATAACTCAAACCGCAGCAAAAAGGTTAAAAAAATAAGAGGATTCCAAAAGGCAGATTGGGGTAGTAAAATAATATAAACGGTATCAATGTTACTGCACCAGATGCGCATTTCGACAATTAATGCCTCTTCAGTGATGCTGGAGGCCAAAATATCAAAAATCCAAAACCTAATACAAACGTTGAAGAGAAGTCATTATTTGAACAAAACAAACAAAACTATGACAAAAAGGTCAAACAATAGCCAACAAAAGCCGTGCAAGGAGAGAACTTAGATACTCCGGAAGGGTAAGCAGTTCCTTCTCCACTGGTGGTATCTGTCGTGTGTTAGTGCCCGATAGTTACAAATCCATCTATAGATAAAGATCAAAGAAAACATAGGGAAAATCAATGTATATGGGTTTTGCTCATTGTTGAAGGCCATACATTGACTTATAAAATCTTATTGTTATAGAGTAAAGAGATCTTAATATGTACTTTTTGGCACGTTGGATAAATGTTAATCCAGGAAAGTGGTTTAAAAGCAGCTAATTCTGTATGTGTCATTTTTATTTAGTACAATGTGTTGTTGTCTGTGGCTAGGTGCCAAGAATATCTGTTTTATTTATCTAATAATACTTCCCTGTTCCTTTCCACAATTTTGGCTCTGACTGTTCCTTTTAAAAGCATCAACACAGGAACGTACTGATATTCGGTATGGTTAATTTTTATTTAGCACATTTTGCAGTTTTTCCGTGGCTATGTACCAAGTACATCTGTTTTGTTCGTCTAATTATATTTCACTGTCGTGATTACTCTGATTAATTAACAATTCATTTGTCATCAACATGCAGAACAGTGCCTCGTCATGTTGAGAACATCATAAACCACAACATTGAAAAATGGATAGAAAAACATAAGTGTTGTATATTATCTTATACCGATAATAGTATGTTATTTATATTTGCCACATAATATTTGGCTTAGAGGTTGAGGAAAGGAAATAAGAAGATACAAGTCAAAAGACAAGACAATGACGAAAAAAAGGGAAAAGAGCGAAACGAACTTCGTTTGTTTCCTAATCGCGATCTTCTTTTATTTCATTTTTTTGCCATGGATTTGATTTGATAATAACTGCAATTGAACGGTTTTGACAATCATATATTAACATATAATTGGAGCTGATCAAAATTGTTATTAATCATTACAGGTTAAACATTGCCATAATCTAAAGAAATACCAAAATAAGAGTTAGACCAAGACAGAAAGACAATGAACATAAGTATATACAGAAAATTAAGAGCAGAAAGGTTAGGCTTTAAAGGACAAACATGCTACGAAGAAACGACACTAATACAAGCAAACAGCGCCAACTAATTAAATAACAGTTATAAAAAAAGACAGTGCGAACAGAACGACCATGACCTAAAGAATAACGAGGTAACTACAAAAAGACATGTAACAACCTGAAAATATACCGACGTTGATAAAAATAAAGACCAACACAAAGAAAAATTACAAGAAAAAAACTAACGATGATAAATAGGAGGACCATGAGAAGGCGAAAAACAACTGTCGATGAAAACAGAAAAGTCATGACATAGAGAACAAACATACAGTTTCAAACAGAAAAACAAGGACTATAAAAAACATTCAGCTACAAACAGATTGAAAATCACGAGAGAGAGAGAGAGAGAGAGAGAGAGAGAGAGAGAGAGAGAGAGAGTCAGAAAGGCAATGTTTTAATTTATAAACAGACAATGACAGTCAGAGAGACAAAGAATTACCTTAAAAAACAGACATTGTTGACAGACAGCACAAAACAATAATCTACTTTATACACAGACAATGACAGTCAGAAATGCGATACAATACTTTATAAACAGACAGTGACAGCCAGCAAGAAAATGGATTAATTTATAAACATACAATGACAGTCAGAAAGACAATGCATAATTAACCTATAAACAGACAATGACAGTCAGAAAGGCAATAAAATACTTTATAAACAGACAAGTGACAGCCAGCAAGACAATGAATTAATTTATAAACACACAATGACAGTCAGAAAGACAATGCATAATTAGCCTATAAACAGTCAATAACAGCCAGCAAGACAATGTCCTAAAGAATTAAAAAAAAAACAATGACAGTCAGAACTACAATGAAAAAAAAGAATAAACAAACAATTACTGTCAGAAAGACGAGTTTAAATACAAAAGAGACAATAACAGTCAGAAAGACAATGAATTGATTAATGAACATATAGTGTGTCTTTCTATGTTGTGATGTTACACTATTGTTTCAGAAAAAGGGTGAAGGTTTGGTACCATTAAAACGTTTAAACCCGCTGCATTTGTTTGCACCTGTCCTAAGTCAGGAATCTGATGTTCAGTAGTTGTCGTTTGTTGATGTGGTTCATAAGTGTTTCTCGTTTCTCGTTTTTTATATAGATTAGACCGTTGGTTTTCCCGTTTGAATGGTTTTACACTAGTAATTTTTTGGGGCCCTTTATAGCTTACTGTTCGGTGTGAGCCAAGGCTCCGTGTTGAAGAACGTACTGTGACCTATAATGGTTTACTTTTATAAATTTTGACTTGGATGGAGAGTTGTCTCATTGGCACTCATACCACATCTTCTTATATCTATATGCAGACAACGACCATCAGAAAGACAAAGAGTTAAAACAAATGAGTAGAAAATAACAGCTAGAAAGACAGAGTTAAAGAATATGGAGAAAATGGCAATCTGAAGATTAAGAGTTAAAAAATAAAAATAAAATGACAAACAGAGAGCTAAAGAGTTACAGGATATAAAGAAATAAAGGATAATCAGACAATAACATTCAGAAAGACAAAGAACCTATAAAGAATAATTAAACAGAAAAGGAAATAAAGAAAAATCAGACAATAACATTCAGAAAGACAAAGAACCTATAAAGAATAATTAAACAGAAAAGGAAATAAAGAAAAATCAGACAATAACATTCAGAAAGACAAAGAACCTATAAAGAATAATTAAACAGAAAAGGAAAAAAAGAAAAATCAGACAATAACATTCAGAAAGACAAAGAACCTATAAAGAATAATTTAACAGAAAAGGAAATAAAGAAAAATCAGACAATAACATTCAGATAGACAAGGAACCTATAAAGAATAATTAAACAGAAAAGGAAATAAAGAAAAATCAGACAATAACATTCAGAAAGACAA